GGCGCGTAGAGAAATTGCTTCAGTCCTCTTACAATCTAGTGATCATTCACCTCCGATATCTAGAACGGATAGTAAGCAGTCGAGCACTTATTTCAAGTAGCAAGATGTAGCGGATCGCGAAGAGATTGGCACTTTTCCGATTGCATTGTAAGAAAAGAGTCGTCGATTGCCTTTCGATTTACAACCTTGTTTCAATATTAACTTAAATTAAATTTTATGTCGAAAATTTTTTTTTATGTCAATTAAGATTCACAAAAATACGCAGAAAATCTGAATCACCAGTTTTTTCTCTGTTTCAATTTATATGTTTACTATATTTTAATATTGAGAATTTTACCATTTCAAATTAAAAAAAAGATAAAACATCTAGTACGTGACATATTGAAAAAGTTTATTAAGTTTTACTCATCTGACACTAATAAAGTGATCAGTTAAATCAACTCTTGCGTTTTTTCCTATTGCTCGAGAAAAAAACGTTATGCCGGTGATGTAGCAACACTTTCATCTGTTATGTTTGGAGCTTTGCTATCACAGCCTCGCGACTAAGAATAATTGAGCACACGCAAATCTTGCATACTTTAAAAAAGTCCTCAATGCATACTAATGTAATATAAATTCGCCAGCGCGGGCGCCCGCGCTGTCTTGAATTATGACATCGATGCAATATACACGCGCGCGCACACACACACACACACACACACACACACACACACACACACACACACACACACACACACACAAGATGTCTATCGCGACGTGCATATGCAAAATGACTTTTTCTCGGCTCAATTCGTTTAGTGAAGCAATCGTAAAATGTCTTGGAAATATCAGTAGAAATTTGCAATAACAGTCTATGACTTTAGATAAAATAAATACTTTAGGTAAATAAGAAAATATTAAAAAAAAATTTAATAAACATGCTATATGATTTTAAAAAGATATTTGTTTCTCTCTGTGCAATTATCGAATTATTTTTGTAATTGAGATATTCATTGGCAATTCATAGGAATTGTAGATAAATAATTAAGTAAATCATTAATAGTAAATCAAGGAAAACATTAATTGTTAATGTTTTGGCATAGCGTGTTTACTAGAGTTTGTATTTCTTTCGACATCTTCTTATTTTCTCTAATTCAAGCTAACGATCGTAATTTTATTAATATTTTATAATTAATTAAAAATAAAATTTTATAATTTTATAATTTTAAATTCATGTTTATTAAATTCATGTTTATTAAGAAACAAAATTTAGGCATATAATATTTCCAAAAACCATTTTCGAAAAATTCGTATTGGAGTTATTTTTATATAATTTATTACAAGATCAGGAGAGACTTTGATTATGTTCCGTAAGTTCTTTGTATTGTAATAATGCCATTAATTATTAGAATAATATATTAATCAATAAAAAGCACTCGCTTATATATAATTTTTCTCGTTTCTTATGTCACAAGTTATTCGAAGGATAAAAATATTTAATGATACTGCATTCGTAATTTCATGGAAAATATGTACGATATTTTTTCTATGTTTAATGCTCGTTTACTACAAAACCATTTTTAAACTTTTTGTTTAGTATAGATATGAGTTTGTTTCGTAACAAAGCTATCATAATTGGCTATAAAAAAATATTATTTCACAATGCATTTCTGATACTTTCTATAACGAATTGCAATCTATATTTTACGTAAATAGTTTTTTCCAAAAACAATTATTTATTTCGTAATTTACTTTCGAGAAAGTAAAGTTCCTTGTGACAAATCCCCGATTTCTTTTATTTTATCTCTATTTTCAAGCAACTTACTCTCGATTCCATTGTAAAAGACCATAGAATTGTATTGAAAAGAAATATTGCATTTTTATTGTTGATTGTTATCGTTTCGCTATAAATGGCTTTCTACTGTAGTCTGCAGTTATGACGGAGATTAAACATGTGCGACCTTCATTGAGTATTCAATGAACCTTTCTAAATGTATAGATTAGTAATAGCAGAAAAACGATAATATTAAGGCATCAAAAGATCTTTGCTTTTTTTTATTACTTCTTGCATTTAAAACAAACAGCGAACATAAAAGTTACATTGATAGCGTCTGTAAAGTTCAATTAGAATCTGTGTTTTTTTTTTCAATTAGCGTTTCATACTCGATCTGAAACGATGTGAAAGAAAGAACTGTTTGTGCTCATTATGCGATTATTTACAAAATAATACCATTAGCTTTAGTTGACATACATGCAGAGAAAAAATCTATTGCAATTATAAACAAGTCCAATTCTTGAAAAAAAGAACTGGTTTACTTCGTTCGATAATTATGATGACGATGATTATGACCTATTCTAATTCTCTCACTCCTATCTGCATCCTTTTTTTCCATTATTGTTTATTGAGAAATGAAATCAGTCATAATGTCTTTCACGCAAGAGATCAACATATATTCATCATATCATTTCATCATATCATATTTCAGTTATTTTATATGAAGGGCAATTATTTTATGATAAAACAATTTACGATTTTTTAATAGAATAATATAAATAGCAAGCAAGATTTTCCCTTCAGCTCTTCGTAAGAAGAATTTTACGCTTTAATCTTGTTCAACTATCCAACTCTACTGAAAACTTCATTACAATTCATGCTACTCTTATAGACTTAAAATCCAGTCGAAAATTGTTGCCTCCTTGCAGCAATACTTTCTTGTTATAGATTATATTTACTTTATATTGTGAATAACTGTCATTAGGAAAATCACGTGTTTTGATAATTGGATTAATAATTATACAAATAATTTTCTTTGTTAAGAAAGAATTACATTGATTAACTTAATGGCAAAACAATAAGTCAATATTCCTTTTTTTTTCTTTCCTTTCCTTCTTTTAATGAAAATATTTTGTTCAATGAATGCACGTCTTCAAGGCGATAACCATAAATTATTTAATAAATTCATATGTAGAATTGTAAAAAGTCTCATATGTCAAATCCTTCAAGCAACTTTTAAAAATAATCAAGTGATATAAACGCTCGAGAAAAAATGTAAATTCTATTTTATTATAGTTTTAATAATATATTTACATAACCTAAACAAAAGAGAAAAACTAAAATTATTTTCAACAAAAATCAAATTGTAAAAAATTAATAAATATGCATAATCATAATAAAAATAATTATAACCTTAAACTAATGAATTATACGAGATAATATTTTTAAATTTTAATTTTTATTATTTCTGTCAGTTTGTAGCATATCTAGATGTTTGATTTAAAAAAAAAATGCAAATTTCTCAGTATAAAAAGGATTATATTATTTAAAAATAATAATAATTATCTTTAAAAATAAACATCTTATATAAGATATGTGCCAAGTAAATATTAATATCATCAAACTCTGTGTTCTCCGTATCGTTCTTAATATGGATTTAAGTGAAAGTAGACTTTGATTAGGTTTAATAATGTAACAACTCAGTACAGATCTTTTTCATCTCTCTTTTTCTTTCTCTCACGAAGATAATTGATAATTACAGAAATCGACAAGGAAGTTTCACTTCCTTGCGTACATCATTATTATTATATCACACGTTGGCATTTCTTTCCTATAAATCTTAATTAAGAGTCGTATGTTGGAAACGTTGCGGTGCAACGATAATGCGAAGCAAAATGAAGTCAGTATGCATTATTTAAAAAAAAAAATGTATAATATAATCTTTATATAAGCGTATTATAGTTAAAAAAAAAATAAACGTATATAATTGCTTATAATGTTCGCGAACAAATATATATTTATAAAATAACTTTGTTCCTCGTTCTCATAAATATTCATAAATCAAATGAAGTTATGTTAATAGTATCATAAATCACAAAATTGTGCAATCGAAAGTGAACACTTTCAATAATAATATTAATATATAAAGTATAAAACATAAACAAAGCAAATCTATATATTTCCTTTCTTCTCTTTTCATGCAGTTCCGACGATCAATGCAAGATACCCTACAGTCACACCACGATGACTACTTTCTGCTTCGCTGGTTAAGAGGTATGGCTTTCTACCCTCTCTCCCCGATAATCAATTGATAATGGCTGCGTTCAACAGAAAAAAATATCTTTGCTGTTGTAAAATTCTTGAATATAATTGATTTATGTACTTATAACGGAAACACCAAGTGGTCGGAGATTTTGATGCGCTTTTTACAGGCTTCTTGAGCGAAAAAAAAAAACGATATCCGGCCGTTTTTTGCCATTGGCCCATAGTTTCGAAGAAATTGATTTTTTAAATAATTATTGTAGTAATTTGAAAAACGTACTATATTAATGAAAATATCAATATCTTTATAAATTTCACTTTAATTTAATATTATTAGTTTTAATTACTTTTTGATTGTAAACATATTGTGTTTAATTATTTTATTCTATTATATAATAACTAATATGTAATTTCATGAAATTTCATTACAATTTCATTACAAAAAATAATTGAAACTAATAACATTAAATAAAATTTATAAAGATACTGATATTTTCATTTATACAGTACGTTTCTCAAATTGTTATAATAATTATTTAAAAAATCAATTTCTTCAAAACTACGGGCCAATGGCTGAAACAGTCGGACACGTATCGATTTTTTCTTCGTTCAAGAACAGCTTGTAAAAAGCGTATCAAAATCCCTGATCAAAACCTCATCACCTGATGTTCCCCTTGGTAGATTCAATAAGGAATTAAAAGGAAGATCAATCATATTAAATAATTTTACAACAGTTACATTTATAAAATTGCTTTTTTTTGCATAGTACTGAACGCATTATCTCATTATCTAACAATAAGAAGCTGCTTCGTGATCTCATAAGTCAGTATGCATTATTTCTAAAAAAAAAATATAATATAATTTTTACATAAGCGTATTATTATAGTTAAAAAAAAATAAATATATAATTACTTATAATGTTCGCGAACAAACATAATACACATGATACACATATATTAGGTGTAGAAAAAGAAAATCCATTATTTTTGCATGAAATTGAATGGAAAAATAATGGATTTCTTTTTATTACACCTAATATATTTATAAAGTAATTTTGTTCCTCGTTCTTACATCAATAAATGTTTTATTCTGTGTTATGTGTATATAACGTAGTCATGTGCATCGTGAAAAATATCACATAGAAATTGACGTGACATCCATTGTCTTTTACCTATTTTTATATGTGTGCATGTGTATGTTTCGAAGCGATACTTAACGAAGTTATTAAACTGTTTTGAAACAAAACTACAAAATTGAGGAAACTCGAAATTATCGGTTATTATTAGCTGCCTCTATAAAATTGTGAGTCACACAAATTGCTACAACTCATATATCCAATAAACAACGCCAATGCATAATGAAAACGTTTTTTAATATTGAAAAAATATTATTGGAATACTTTAATAAATTTTATTTTAAATAAATAACGCGATAACTCTGTAACTATGTGAGTAAAAATGCACATTTTTTCTTATTTTTTTAATGATGTCATATTTTATAGCAAGAAAATGGGATCCTACTGCAGCCGAAAAAATGCTGAGAAACGTAAGTAATTGTGCAAAAACGTGTTTTTTTGATATTACAATCGTATATTTTACATTCTCATATTTCACTTATATGTTAAATAAAATGCATATGTATTTATCCTGTCTCCGGATGTTACGCCGGTTACGTACTCGACCTCCGTTCCTTCAGGTTAGATTCACTATTCACATTACACAAAACACAGACGAATCCAATTGAGAAAGTCTGGTGAAACACGTTCCGGATACGGTCACCGAGTCTTTTAAATTTCTCTGCCACGTGAATTACTCGCGACTCATTAAATATTAACGCGGCAGGCGTAAACGTTGTCACATCACAGCTCGTTGCATTCTAAAATACTTTTTTGTATGACATGTCTTGATGAGAAATCTTCATCTATTTTTTTGTGACTTCTATCTTGATCTGAATGCCGATCAAGAATGTCAAGATGTTTGCCATCTCTTTGTCAATTTAATTCGTCTGATAGAAACGTTATTCACATCATAAATTAAAAAAAGTAGATACAAATAGATAAAAACAAGGATAGATAGATAAATGTAAATTTTAAATTATTATTTATAAATATTCTTTGATTTAATAATAATAAAGATTTATTAATGTATAATATATATGTTTAATAATATACATACATATATAAAATAAATTTAATATATAGCAAACATAATAGATTTTTATGTTTTTTTTGTGTATTATTTGTTAATATCAAGACGATAATTTAACGATCATTTTTATATAAGTAACGATCAAATAATTGCCAATATCATTCAAAGTAATCACAGTAAAAAAAGTCTGTCGCGAATAAATTAAAGAAATCCTTCCAGGTTCATATCGAATATTGAAGATTTGCTGTCAACAGTGCCGCTTTTTTATTTTCGTAGATGTTTTATGAAATAGAAAGTTGTTCTCTGTACATGCTGTTTTGTAAGTCGAAAGTAATGTGCCGATTCTTTGAAACACATTCGCGAAGTCACTATTCTTGGGCTGAGAAATTTCATAATGATTGAAAATCGAATCTATAATACGGCTGGATATTCTAGAGTTATTTCTTCAAGAAATTATCTTTTTTCACTTTCTATTCCGCGTGAAATTCCGTTATTCCTGAAATCATTAACTATAAATTATGAGAAATATTTCTTTCTTCGATGTGTGTCTTCGGATATTTTAGCACCGACTAAAGACGTTCCAACGGTACGTGTTACACCGTAACATATAAACCTACAAGCCGTATTCTTATACAGATATTACACGGAAAAATAGCACAAAATGATAAAATCATTTTGAATTTCTGTTACAAACGTAATATTTAGATGAATTAGATACATGATATTTTTTACATATATTTTTTTTAATTCAATAATTTTATAATAATAAAAAAAGACATTGATGCATAACTTTTATGATAAATTTAAATATGTTTTAACCTACTTATATTACAGTAATCTAAGAATTTTGACTGTTATAATTTAAAAAACACAATTATAATTTTAAAAAATTTTATTTTTTTTTATTTATACTGCCAATTTATTTAAATTGTAACTTAAATTTAAACTGTGATTTTTTTCTGTCATCTACATCTATTTTGAATAAGTCAAGCAGTAAATGGATATATATTTATAGCATAATCTAATTAATCTATTATCGTTTTTTCGAAAAAAATTTAACTTTTATAACAATATGATAATTATATATTCTTGTTAATGTTATAAAGAACAAGATTTCATATAGAAATATTTCATGCATTTGTATTATGATACAAACGTTACGTATGTATAATTAGTTACACTTTTTAATTTTGCGCCATTGCATAAAAAATAAGAGCATGAAAAAATCTTTTGATTAAATTTGTTAAGATTTATTAAAATCTAATTAAAATAAAAATGGCAGCACAGGTATATCCACACATTATAGATATTATTGTAAAATATTCGAAACAATACAATACAAGTGTTTATTAGTGTATGTCAGAATAATCAGAAATATATATCAAAAACATTGATAATTTTGATAATTTATGGTATAATGCATATTCTGCAATAATATAATGAAGAAAAATATTTATTTATAGTCGATAGAATGGCGAAAACAGTGGGATGCTGATAATTTGGACAAATGGGAAATTCCTGAAATAATAAAACCATACCTTCCTTACGGATTAAGTGGATTCGACAAAGATGGAGCACCAGGTAAAATCTCTTTTGTTATAGTCAGCATAATCAATCTTTGAATCATAAATCTACTTTTTACATTTATAACATCATAAATGGCATTTATATTATAGCATCATGAATTGAAATGATATATAATGTCAATTTCTATCAGTATTATAAAAAAAAACATATATATTAAATAAGTGAGAAAAACACACTCAAATTCAAGGTTTGGAAAGTTACTTTATAAGTTATTTTTTAAGGTTTTACCTTATGTATTTATATTTTTCTTTATATGTTTCTTATAGAAATTAAGTAATAGAAATAGTAATACAAAATTGGAATAAATGATAAAATATAATACGAAAATAAAATATAAAAAATAAAATATCCAAATTTACTATATTTAAATTCCATAATAGAAAATAACTTATAAATAATTTATAAAAAGTAACTTGATCAACTTTGCGAATTATTCGAAATATTATAAAATGTTATTGTAAAACAAATTCGAGAATAATAATAATCGCAAATAATAATAATAAAAAGGTATGTATTATATTAAATAAGCAAACATTCTACTGATAAATTTCAATGATGTCGATATAATTACAGTGAAAGTTTGAGTATGATGTCATTTATAAAGATATGATATAAATCATATCACATATAAATACATATAAATAAATCATATAAAAATTATATAACAGAAATAAAAATCTTCTTCCGGAATAATTCTTTCTAAAAAATAAAAAAAAACTAAAATATGATAAATAAAAAACCTGAAATACAGGTTTCAATATTTTGATTGCTCGATCAAGGTCTTCAACTCTCAAGGATACTTTTCCTACATACATACAAAAATATATCTAACATATGAAGACCATGATTACGATTACTTTGAAGCATAACATCTTTTTTAATTAATCCTTTTGATTCTCTTTTTCTTTCTTTTTCATGTGAAATATCGTTTTTTAACACGAAGTGTTCGAGTGTTTTTTAACTGAAAAAGTCATTTTATTATTTGACAGCACACAATATATTCAAAAATTCATAAAATTTGATTGCATCGAACAAATTTTATTGGCAATAAAAGTAATTTTTATTCAAACTTTATTCCTGCATGTTTATAAATCTGAAATCGACAAAAAAAATTATCATTTAATTGTGCCAAATTTTTGTTATCGCACTGAATATTAAACGTTTATTTTTATATTATAAGTATAAAAGATGGAGAAGATATAATAAATAAAACAAAAGAATTTACAAGCACAAAAAAATTATGAAAATTGATATAAGATCGGAGAAATGATCTACTTATCTTTTTTTAAAAATTTATGTTATTTTGTATTATATATGGATATAATCTTTACAGTAATCGTTATACCATTTGTCGGTATGGACATGTACGGAGCATTACATGTAATAACACAGAAGGAATTTATCAAACTTATGATAAAAGTGTTAGATAGTTATTTGAACTTAGCCAAGGAACAATCCAAGAAACATGGACAGCTTGCTAATCAAGTAATCGTTATTTTCGATATGGAAGGATTTAATCTTAAACAATATTTGTGGAAACCAGGTAAAAATATTAATAAATTCTTCTTAAAATATTCTGTCATTTTTTTTTCTATTATTGTTTTATCGGTGTAGCTGGCGAGCTTATTGTTACCTTCATCCAAATGTACGAAGCGAACTATCCGGAAATTCTAAAGATGTGCTTCCTGATCAACGGTAAGTTTAATAAAATATAATAATCGCAATCGTGCATAAGCACGATTTTATTTAGATGTTACTGTTTAAATTAAAATAAATATTCTTTGATATATTGTCTATTTAAAGAGAACTGTAAAAGAAAATTAATAAAATACAATGAGAGTGCACCGCGATTATTAGTGCGTAAATAATAATATGTGCAGTAGTTCTTTAATTGCTTTGCTCTTGATATATTCAAGAATTTAAATTCTTTCCCTCGTTACTTTTTTAAAACTTTCAAAAATTCAGGTTATTTCATTTTTACATCAAATTTAGTTTGTGAGCGGACGTAAGGTTTAGTCGTGTCATTAATCACGCACGGACAATGAGCATTAATGTAGAAAAGTGATCATTTCTCAATTTATGAAAATTTTCAAGGAAAAGAATCAAAGTCCTTAGGTGTACACTCACCGATTAAAAGGTTGCAATTCTTTTTTTTTTTTTAATAAATTTCGGAATTTATCAGTCTGTTTCACCAAGCGATTGGTTCTTACTTATGGATCCGTAAGTAAAAATCAATCGCTCGGTGAGTAAGCTGCAAAAACCATAGAAAAAAATTTGTTGCGATTTTTTTAGTCGGTGAGTGTACATATATTACAATTGAAGTGACAGACGTTGGTTATATTACGTATGCATTAATAAGTGCGTTGCATTATATTGCTCATTATCAATTTTCTTTTTGTTTGTGATTGAAAATTCTTTTAAATGTATTATTAAATTTTAAAGTGTATTATTAAATTATTAAATGTTTGTTCCTTTTAAAAAAAAGATTGCTTATAAAATATGAAAAATATGTTTTATTTCATGTTGTGTCCATTAATATACATTTTTAAACCACGTGGATCATCAATGAGTTACATCATGATACATTATGTATGCAAAATGCGTATTAATTTTAAATAATTTTAGAAATTTTTACAATTTCATTCCTCTTCCAAATCAAATAGTTTGAATGGTTGAAAATTAATCGCTATTATCTGCGATGACCGATTCAATTGCCCATATTCATAATCAAACTTAAAGCTTCCTAAAATATATCTTTAGATGCTCAGTAGCCAATGAAATAATTCGTAGAGTGTATTTGAAGATAAATTTAAGAAAACCTTAAATGTAGGCCTGAATACGCCAATGAAATATGAGATATTATATGAGATATTAATCCTTATTCATTATCTCTTCTTATTATTCCCTTTTATAATTCTTCTTTTCGTTGAAAATGATATGCTCACTCGTTTGACAATAAGTTAGCATATACATATAATAAGATAAAAATTATTATTATTGTTATTATTATTGTTATTATTATTATTATTATTATTACTATTACTATGTAAAAATTCAGAAAAGTCTGTGAACAACTTTTTTGAAATAATTCTTCATGAATTTTGTTCAGGATGAATTGCTTACAATTGGCTTATTTAGAAGATTTTAGAAACAGAAAAAGAAACTATTAATATATACATTGTTGCAGCTCCAAAAGTCTTTGCTTTCGCTTTTACTTTTATTAAGAAATTTATGGACGATTATACTTTGTCAAAAATACAAATCTACAAAACCGAGCCATCGAAATGGAAAGCAGCACTTCTTAAATTCATACCGAAAGATCAACTACCTGCCCATTATGGTGGAATACTAACGGATCCAGATGGCAACCCGAAATACACTTCAAAAGTATTTTAATTAAATCTTTTTCAAAATTACAACACGAAATAGCTGTTAAAATGAAAACTTCGATAGAATATGTGAATAATTTTTAATAAGTTCGATTACTTCTTAATTTAAATGTTAATATAGTATTTAAAATTAATACTTTTCTTCAAAAATTTTCGTTTAAAAAAAATTGTAATCTCGAAGAATTCAGCTTTTTATTGTAAACTCTTGCATCTTACTTTATAAGAAGCATTTATTATTCATTTTTTAAGATAATACTTGATTTTCTTTAAGGCTTTTGATCATTCATGACTTCTTCAGATTGATGATGTCAAAAGCGATAAACCATATAATGAAATTTTTTCAAAATATATTTAACAATATATTTTAATATAGTTTGCAAGAGTTTTCTTTATATATTTTTCTTGCTTTTGACGTTATAATATAAACTAAGTTATAGTGAGTAGGAACCTTAAATGTAAAACGTATTTCATATACTAATTTTTGAAAAATAATTAAAATTGTTGTTAGATCTGCCAAGGTGGTAAGGTACCTAAAGAAATATACATCAAGAATATGGATAAGTTAAACGAGGATTACACTACCGTCGTTGTTCGGAAAGGAGGAAAGTTAGAATTCGATATTTCTGCACCCGAAGTGGGTTCCATCTTAAGGTAAATATTTTACAATAAACATGTCGGAAGAAGAAGTCTCTTTCAATTCATATTCTTGTATTCAGTTGGGAATTTCGAAGCGAAGGTCATGACATCAAATTTGGAATTCTGAAAAAAGACGTGACTAATGGAAACAAAATAGAAGTTATACCTATTCGGAGGGTTGCATCTCATCAATCGGATGAAATTGGATTATTAACTTGCGAAACTCCGACGACTTGTAAGCCCATATTGTTTGAGCAGCATTCTACGAATAATGATGTTATCTGAATTTTATTCACAAATACGGTTCAATAAGATTTTTATTGTTTAAATTTTATTTCAGATTACGTCGTTTTTGATAATACCTATAGTATTCTAAGGAATAAGAAGGTTCATTATTCCGTACGTATGTTACCACCAACATCAGTGGCATCAATTATGTAATAAAATGGATCCTTTTAGAAAATTTACAATTATATTAGTTCTTCGTATTTCATACTTGTAATATATCACGCTAAAATTTCGGAAGGATGTTACGTCATAATTTTATAGTAATATAGATATAAAATAAATTCTTTGTAATTTATGGTATTTTACAGTAATATTCTAATTGATTGTTTATTTATCTTTCTTATCTTATTGCTCAAAAGTGTAGATTGTAGATTATTACAATATAATTATAGCATATATATATATATACAAATACATAAAAAATAAATATTAGTTAAATTTAAGTAATCTTTATTTGTATTTCCGATATCTTATTTCAAAGTAGGGTAAAAAGGATGATTATAAAAAAAGAATAGATATACAATATAATCGTACGTGAAAAATGTGATTTATGTACATTTATAATTCAATATGTATTTTTATAAAAAGAAATATAGAAATATATATTACAAATATTTTTAGTCTGCATCTACATCTGACAGTAACATTTCGATAAGATCAGAATTCAGTAATTGATCACCCTCTAAACGTTTTTCAGTCCTCCATTTAACTAAAGTCGGCAAGACCTTCAACCTGGTACAACGATTTGTTCTGAATGGACAATTTGGATCTTTCCAGCTAGGAAAGTGAATAAAAGATATTTTAAAAATTTTCTTCTTTATGTTATACAATGTATTCTATCTTAATTTTCGCAAGTAAATATCTCGAAAAGTATGAAAGATATGAAGAAACGTTTCAGACGAAAGTTTTATGAACTAAAGGGAGACAAACAATAATAAAATTTTCAAGAAAGTCATTTTTTCACGGTCATATGAAATCACTTTTTTTAAATGAAATTGTATGATTTTTTCCTCATAATGATTCTTCTAATTATTCTGCACATAAAAATATAGAGGAATCCATATATAAAATAATCGTGCAATTCCATTTAAAAAAATAGTCATAATCTTGATTGTGGCCTTAAGGTTAATTCATGTATTTTTTGTTTTCTGTTTCTTGCTGTTTGTCTCTTATCTTATTGACCCGAAAGGCAAAAGACAAATAGTAAGAAACAGGAAACAAAGAGCACATTAGAATGTGCATAGTAGAATTAATCTAAAAATACGACTTGATAAAAAATTAATTTTACTATTTTATTTCCCTTTAGATACAATTTCAGTTTGAAACATTTTCCTGTGGTAATTAAAATGACATCTATACATATACGGTGCATATTATATATATTTTATGTTATTAAATAACAATTATTACATAATATATGCTCAAGATAATTCATATAAAAATAGCAATTGCAATAGTATGAATATTTTATATACTTACAATGCCCTGTTCCCGACCTCTACTGTTAATAATATTGTACCCTGAGGTGCATCTGCGAAACCAGTTTCAATAAATGGTTCAGCTGAAAGAAGATGAAAAATTCTAAGTAAATGCACTAATTATCTAAAACCAATTGTATCAACATTAATGCATATTTGCATTTTCTTCTTTTTAATATACATAAAATAATTAAGAAATGAATAACTTAAAACTAACTAATGAAAATACAATATTTAATAAAATATTTCAAATAGTTCTCTCAACTAAATTTCTTAATCTCATATTTGTACTTTGATATTCTTAAATGATAAATTGTACAAAAATTAATACAAAATCGTTATAGATCCAGGTAACTGATAAAGTTTTTTTATTTATGGAAATAGATATCTTATGCGTCGTTTTATCATTACAATAGTATCATTTCCTATTATATTTCCTGTATTTTAGAAATCTGATATTGATCATAATATTGAACTTAGTTTTAGAACATGCAATAGTCAATGAAATATATAATTCAGATATTAAGAGATAGAAAATTCTGCTTGAATTCCACAATTAATTTATCACAATATATTATTAACAGATTATGAATGCTTTCCAGTAACATATAAAGATGACATTGTAAAATGTAGTGTATGATTCTGTATTTTCCAATTATAATACAAATTGAAAGTCGACACGATTATACACAGCAAAAATACTGTGTTCGACTGTGTAGGTTTTTTATATCATTTCACGAATATTAAATTTTTGCATTTCATTATTATTTAATTTTTTCTAGAAATGACACTTTGACAAGAAATTTCAAAATTACATTTGGATATATTTGAATATAAATGTATAAGACTTTTTCCATTTCTGCGGTGAAAGTCATTGGAGTCAAGACATTGGATGCTTTCCATTTCATCGCACACAAGTCAATACAAATATCTTTCTTTATTACTCTCCTTTATTACTCTCTAATTAAAAAAAAATAGAATAATGTTTGTGTCGATTTATGTCACTAAATGAAAAGCATCTTTTGTCATATTTTTACTAACATTCTCCCAAATAGTAACATTAAGATACAACATAATGATGTCTATTTTAGCCTACTAGACGTCAGTGACTACGTTTAAACATCATTATTAATCAAATTTAGTAATATCCATAAGCATTAACTGATGTAAGATATACAAACGCTAATCAAATAAACGATGTCTAATTATATAAACACTAGTTTAATCCGGCTCTAAAATAATAGATTTTAACATTTAATTCACTAACGCTTACACGATAGCATCAGCATTTCTTGCGTCAGTAATAATAATTATAGATGAAACACTAAATCTGATCAATACTTAATGACGTTCAAACAGTGACGTCATTTTGACCTACTGACGTCATGTCTTTTGACGTCATTCAGGCTGCCGAGAAAATTTCCAATAGATATTTTGCAAAATTCGCTTCCAACAATTCTGGCTATCCAAAGAGATCTGATAGGAGAAAATGGAGGAATTGTATATACATCTTAGCGAGAATTAATATTACAACGAATGGAATGCAGTTGTGAATGCAGTTGTGAATGCAGGGAAATCGGGATTTTGGGGAGAAGGAACCTCATTAGTTTACTTTCATAACCTTAACTTGTTATTTAATATAATAAATTATAGATTAATTTATTAGTGACATGAGGCAAATACGCACAATTCCTTATCTCGCTGGATAATTGTACGCATAGGTCGAGTAATAATGCGCTAAACAAAAATTATTAGATATCAAGATATAAACATTTTATTTAATATTGACAAAAAGGTTAATGAGTACCTTTTAATGTACAACATGATTTTACAAACATGATTTTATATAAATGAAAATAAAAAAAAACAAAGAATAATGTTAAGCGACAATCGCTTAACATTTTTTATATTACTCACCCCCATTCTTTACTCTTGTTTTTATTGTAAATGTTTATATTAATGGATTCTTAATAACATAAATAAAGATGATGATTAAAATAAAATAAAAAAGTTTTAAAATATTAAAACGATAAAATTTCTTAAAAATATAATGATTACAAAAATGTTTTTTTGTTTACGTTTTACGTTTTTTTAGCTTTCTTTGTAACTGCTCTTAAGCCTATTCTACAGTGTTCTTTGTTTGCTGTTTCTTACTTTTTGCTTCTTGCTTTTTTCCCCTTTGTAACCGTTTTATCGACAATTGTATTTCTTGCTACATGTTTCCTATTTCTTCCGAAGTTCATCAACTTTTATCTCAGGAGATATAAAACAAAAAAACCGGATAAAAAGTAAAAAGACAAAATGTAAAAAAATAACAAAAAGTAAGAAATAGAAAATAAAAAGCACATTGTAGAATAACCATTATGGTATTCTTTTTCTTTTCTTCGGGCTTTTTCTATTTTTCCAATTTATCTTGTAATTTTTGTTTTTGAGGCAGTTAAAATTTCTGAATGAGAATCACGTTGCCACATGAGGTTTTCTCAAAGAAATTAGTGAAATATCAATAATTTTGACTTGATCAGAAGTTTTTGAAGTACTAGATTTTGATATTGGATTTGCCTCTCACTCATTGTTGTAAGAATCAGTCAAATTATCTATATTACTGATAGTTTCAATGGAAATTGAATTTTGATTAATCGAAAATAACTTCAGTAAGAAGTTAAGTTCTTCTTCAGCAACTGATGGAGCAAAATCATTTTCGTCAAATCTATCAGAAATTAGAGGGTAAAAATCTGCTGTACGAAAGCCAGACATACTTTTCTCCATAGAAGCTACTTTTAAAAAGGCCTTATTTAACACCTCTGCAAGATCATACTCGGTCATTTTTTTATGACTAGTCGATTTCAAGTATAAATCATATTTTCTATATAAAGAGTTCTTCAACAGGTCAAAAAATGTCAAGTCTAAAGATTGAATTCGATGTGTGAAGGGCGAGAGAAAATACAGTAATAAAACCAGATTTACATAAATCAAAAACCTCAAGTGAAATATAACTTGTATGATTATCAATTATCAGAAGTACAGAGTCTTCGCCCTGTAAGTAAAGTTTACACAGCTCTTAAAATGATGTAACCAGTCCAAGTACAATCCCTTATTTGTCATCATTTTTAGAACACGCATAAATCACTCAAATAGGCCCATTCTTTTGTAGCTACATACTCATTCTCGTACTCAAAAAAACATTGGAGATATGTACGTTCCAGATGTATTCACGTAAAACACTGCTGTAATGGTCTCCTTTCACCTATTGTTGCTGTTCCAATTCTCTCTGTCCCTTTTGCGCCATATATTTTTAGACATTTTTTTGCCAACCATTGTAATGCTCGTTTTATCCATGTTAAGGATTCTATTTGGAGGAAATCTATACTTTTCCAACGTCTTGTAAATTGGAAAAAATTGAGTAATTTCTTCTTTATTAAGTATATTAATTCTATTAAGACTCATTCCTTTTGTTATCTTACGGTTATTTCCGAGTTATGCTGAAGAAACACATATAACCAATCTTTGTCAGCCGGTTGAATCGTTTTGTTAAACGTATGATTAACATGTTTTGCCTCAGCAAAGTCGAAAGCATTCTACGAAGCTGATGTGAAGTAAATCCATAAAATAGTTATGCTAAGTTCAAAATAAGATTTGTCAATTCTTTCTCTTCATCAACTATAAATATTGGCTTTCGACCCAATGACATATCATTCATTCATTTGTCATTCGGCACATGACATGTCGAATTTCTTTCTTTCAATCTCTTTCTAAGAATTGATTCCGAAATATTGAATTTTTGCTCAGCAGCTCTAATTTTCATCCTATTGATTTTCACAACATAATCGTTGATTTTAAGATCTCCTCAGTCCTATTATTCTTATCTGATGTTCTTTTATAATAACGAGGCATCTAAAAAAAAATTAAACTATAGCTTTTCACTTACACTAAATTTAGATAATTCTTATTTGTGATGTAACTCAATTAAATGCACGTTTCTTTTCATTCTGACAAGTGCAATTCAATGGAATTTTTACTTACATCTGCACAAGCTCGAGATCGTGTATTGTGAGTCTTGTTAACGCACATTAAAAATGATATAAACTTGGGTTGTTACGCGAAAACTTTGTCACAGGAAGTAAGGAACGTTATTATCTGAATATAAAGTTATGTATTTTAATATTATTTATATGAAAACGGAAAAAACCTACGTATTATTTCTTATAATATAAATGCGTGTGAGATAATTATGCACATTTTACTCATGCACACAATTACTTCACAGATCCATATTCAATAAACATCCAAATAACATTAAAACTAATGAATAAATCTTCTTAATCTATAAGTTAATCCATAAAGCGATAATGTCACTGTAATATACATTTTAGTAGAAATAAAACCTCAAAAATTACGAACTTATCGTCTCATTTTCATGATTACCAATTATAACAAAAGATGTATTTTTCTTTCAAGTTGATTATTTTAATCTTCAGTGCTACACTGGGATATGATGTTTCTTTCCACAACATGTTGCAATAAACAACATTCTTTCGATCACGGAAATTGGCACACAATTATCTACTGCGCACAATTATCCTACTTTTTCCTAATACCAGATAATACTCGAGAGTTAGGTTATGTCGACACGAAAAGAAAAAGAAAGATTCACTCACCTTCTACGCAATCCGAGCACCAACTTTTGCCGGTGTCCGGTAGTTTCGTACCGGTGAACAAAACATAATTCGGCTGTTCTGGACTTCCTAAGTTTGTAATCTCAAGAAACTTTTCGTATCCTTGCACGTATCGACGTTCAATTGAAGGGACCATTTTTGGCGAATATGAACGAACAAAGCCCAGCACTCGTGTCTGTTACGAATACGGACGAACGAAATTCTATCGCCTGTAGGACACTTAATTAACCGCTTATGTTATCTATATTTATCTGCGTTTATCTATCATCATTCAGCGCGATAACAACACCGATAAGTAATCAAAGAATTATATCAGTATATATATATATATAT